GCGCAAAGTTAGGCGAGAGAGCGTCTCACCATGGCGCAACGGTTAGGTGTCTGGTCTCGTGCTCGAAGATCAAAGTTCGAGTCCTCGCTAGGCGGATTTTTTGCGTACATTTAGTGACGCACACATACATACACGTATACGTTCACATTTTTTTAGCTAAGTCCTTCCCAGACAGCTTCACCCACCAGCGATTTCTGTTCACACACACATGTGCTACATATAAATATGATTGCTGTAATCATTGCGCACGGCTTCTTCACTACAAAAATATAGAACAACTATTTAAGTTTTAGAATTTTCTAAGGAACCACGAATCAGACAGCCACGAAACTTTGGCTTTAGATTACCCGTGGCCGACTACTCCCTTACTGCTACATTAAATTCTGCCCTGCTCCGTTTTGCGGAGCAGAACAGTCCACAATCAATTATACGGCGCGTAATCGAGTTGGTCATCAATTGTTTGGTTTAATTACCCAAGTTTGAGGTACTAATAAGATACGACATGAATAAGATGAGATAGGATAAGATAGATTCAATTCGAAGTCAGTGAAATCTTAGGAGATTTTTGGTAAATGGAGGAAACAAGTAATGGAAAATGTGACATGATTGAATTACCCCAACATAATACCATCGCTTCTGTTGCTACTAATTCAACTAAACGAAGGAGAGCTTTATGTTCCGGACTACTCGAAAACGGACTTCCTCCTATTGTTTTAAAAGCTCAGACGCCATCCACCAGTCACCTGCTGAAAGGCAGTGTTGACGATGACGATGGGGCATATGACTGTAAATTGCTGGCTGTGTTAAAGAAGAATGCGGATTTGAAAAAAAAATCGAAAATTGGGTAAGGACTTTCAGCACTAAGGGAGGACACAACGTTCGTCTAGTTTCCGTCTAAGGGCACGTGCGAAACGGAAACTAGGCTACTCTTTGTTCGACCCCACATAATAAAGTAACAGAAAAAATTTTCTCTCAATCATGTCAGAAAATCGAACATTATTGTATTTGTAAAAAGTATATTTCATAATTTCAGGACAACCTAATAGACCACACATATGGGCCGTTTTCCTTGCTTTTGTGAAAAACTTTGCTGAGATATAACTATTGCTGCGTACATTACTGGTTGCAAGCCGTAGCGAAAGTATGTGAGGAACCTAACCCAAATCTTAGAGAAAGTTTAAAGGGGTTTGCCCTTATGCACTTGCTAGCCTTAAAACCTGTTAAACATTGTAAAGGTTTGTGTGAGGAAGAATTTGTTGGCCCTTTTGAGAGCGTGGACTTACCCCTTGCTTGTATTTTTGAAGGCAGATATCAGTGCTTTGCCCAATCAATGGATAGATGTCGTAGTTGAGTGGGAGCATAAATTTGATTAACAATCTCTCGCTTTCGCTGTTGTAATACGTGTTGAGTAAACTGCCTGAGTTCTACGAAGATCTTAAGGTCAGCGGGTACTATGTGATTTCACGGTGATTCCGGTTTTTGGCCACGCTTCGAGGCAAGATTCAGAATGTAATTGATGAGGCAATTCCACTCAAATATGATATAGGAGAGAGTGGATCACCAGTGGAGAAAAAAGGGAAAAATCGTGAAACACAGGAAATACGAGCCTTTTGCTCTACGTTGCGGAGAAGTTCAAAAGGCCGGCAGGGAGATGAGAGATAATGTGAGCGCGGAGAGCGGTAGAGAAGTCCGAGTAGAGAGAGCAGCAGATCAACATTGCGACGCAGACAAGATATCGAGCGGTGGGCGGAGTGCTAGCGTATAAGTAACGCTTTTCGGCGAATGGAAGTAACGCGACCTCTGCACTTGCGTACTTAGCGCATCTAAACGCTGGAACGGCTCTGTAAGTGGGTCTGAGTCGAAACTTTGCCTCTAATTAAAATAGAAAATGCGTGACCAAGTTCAGTGCAGGAACATTAATTTTGGGGAAGTGCTGCAAAACTGAAGGAGGCCACCAACGGTAATAACCTCAATATTTTCGTTTTTCGTTCGCAGTGCTGAAGGAAAAGCAATGCTCAGTCGACTTAACGTATGTATACCGGTTGGCACCGACGCATTACGCCCACAACACAGTTTTGCGGCGAGATGGGTTGGTGCGACGTAAAATCTCATTTTTGGCCCTTTACACTATTAATACTTGACTTCTGAGCTAGATCCTACCCGCTGCTTCCCATCACGGGACTGCCTCTACTCCGACTTATAAATCCTGTGGTGAACTCCGCTTCGGTGCATGTCCCACCCACAATTTTTTCCTCATCTTCCACGTTCCTCCCGGTCTTAAAACTGCCTCCGAGCTTGTTTATATGCTTGACGGCGGACCCCGCCCTTTCTAACGCATGCTACGCCCACCATGGGAGTTTACTTCCTTCTTTCGCCGGCTTCTACCCATCCTCCCCAATCTCAGAAACTCCTTGGAACCGAGATCTAAGCCTGCCAACAAACTCCGCCCACTTTGTTGCACACCACGCCCACCAAAAGTAGTCAACTTCACTACCTTCGCTGACCTCTATCCACGTTTTTTCCGGTCTCTAGGTCTTCTTGAGACCGAGTTATAATGTTTCCTCCGCCCATTTTTGTGCTTGCCCCACCCACCAATAGCAGCTAACTTTATTTCCTTCGCTGACCTCTATCCACTTTCTCAGGGTCTCCCGGATTTCTTGGGATCGAGTTATGTTTGTTGGCAAACTCCGCCAAACTTTTTGGCACGCCGTGCCCACCATCAACTTCAGCTTCCTTCTTCTCTGACCTCCACCCACCTTTTCCCGCTCTCCAAGACTTCTCGAAACTAAGTTATGGGTCGAACCAAATTATGGGGACTTGTAGGAAACGCTGTGTACCTCAGGGCGCGCTCCGCTCACTGTGGAAGGGCCTCCGCTCACGTTATATGTATATGCTGGCAACAACTCAACCATTGTTTCGCTACCGCGATTTTTTTTTCTGCTCTATAGACTTAACCATTGTTTCGCTACCGCGATTTTTTTCTCTATAGACTTCAACCTAACCGAGTTATTAATTTTTCCATTAAGTAGTGTGAGTGCTGACAAAGCTATGGTACGTATACCATGAAAAGCTGAGTTGGAATGAAATGGTGCCCCGGTAGCGTAACTGGTAGCGCACTTGCCCGGAAAGCGAGAGGTGCGGGTTCTAGTCCCGCCTGGGGCGAAAGTTTTGTTCGCAGTCCAGCATACTTGTGAATTCGGAAGGCGAACTGCGGCCAAAAACAGCGGTTAATAAACAAAAAGGAGCGCATTGTAGTAAATAATAGGATAAGTATTCACAGAGGATTACATTAACATTTCAATCGACCAAACCGTTATTTTGCGGTCTTCACCACGGGAGACGGTCAAAAGTCCCCCGACCGTCGAGCTGAGACTAGGTCACCCGCGCGCGACGTCGCCGGCGTTTCCGCACTTCGAAACATAGCAAATAGGTTTAGGACCCGCCTCTCTAGACGATCGATACAACGCTTTTTTGTTCTGTCTGTGTAGTCCCCATTTCTGCATTTGTTTCCGCTTAGTCCTAGCAAATTGCCACATTCTAACCTGTAAGGACCGGTAGGCGCCGCGTGCGGTGACCTACTTTCGCTTGTGCGGCGACCTCAGGGGGACCGTCCCGCATCCCTTCACTACTAATGTTTTTCACGTAGCTCTGAATGAAAGTGGTGTAATTCGGAATCCAAAAATTTTATTTCCTTAGAGCGTCTCTTCATTAAACGTAACGATACTTAAGCTTTGTGTTGACTTCAGTATGACGACTATACGTTATCACAGGGAGAAGGCTTGAATTCGAAACGAGTTTCTTGTTGACGTCCTCGTTTGAACAGAACCTGAAAGGATTCAGAGTAGGTCTTGAGTTACTAAACAACATGAATTCTTCTATTGTCGCAACTTTTTGTTTTACCTGTAACCGGTGAGACGTTTGTCGGAATTAGCTTTGATTTCAAGGCCAGAAAGTTTGCATCCATAGTCGGCATACAAGGAGGGGAGTGCCAGAATTTCCACCTCTACCTTCTTATCGTCTGGCGCCTTGAGATGCATGGGATGACTTTATTATCTAAGTAGTTTATTTTTTCTAAAACAGCCGACCTTAATCCAATAAATACATCTCTTGAAACCGTCTCGCTCTTCGTCGGCATTGCTGCCGTCTAGCTTATATTCGAGGGTTTCCCATTCTTCTTTTGCATCCACCTCTCCACCGCAACCTTCGGGCTAAAATAAATTCATGAAGTGATTTGAGGTGAAGCTACAAAACACGAGTCACCCTTGTTTCGCAGAGTGGTCCACCGTATCCACTTGGGCATATGCATTTTGAGCAATCACGCGGATGTGGGAATCCATCATTATGACACTGCGGTTTATTTTCGCATAAGTCTGAAATCCTACCTCTCATGTGGGCTCATTGCGACGATAGCATGGGCTTTTCACACATCTTATTCTTATTTCTTATACTCACTCATGCAGTCATAGAGTGTGTTTACCATGAGCAGATCATAAAATGAAATAATATCAGATCCCATAGCCTCCGTGTAATTCCCATCAATGGCTTGCATTACAGGTTGTTCTTTGTTGACAGCGACGATACTAGAAATGTGAATTTGTTTCCATCCACGCACAGTTTCTTCTCAATAAGAACCCTACCTTTTGGCTGCGTAGTGCATTATACTACCGTAGTCATACGTCAAATTGTAGTTATAATTGGTTTCTTCCGTCTGCGGTTTGAACTGGTCTTGCCAATCATTCTGAATAGCCCTCGATCATACCATAACATGATTCATACCTGTTCAGAAGCATTACCTTCGATATTTTCGTTATTAACCTTGATGAATTCATCACGGTCATACCTAGTATGGGTATGAAACAATCCGAGTGCATGACCGATTTCGTGGGCAGCGTGCCCGAACTGAAGCAGACATAAAAAGCATAAAATCGCTGGTTCCTTTTTCGCTGAACTCGTCTTACTTAGAGCACGTGGTCTAACACGGACTCCTTCTCGATACATACCGTTTCACAGCCATCGCCGAGGTATAGGTCTTGTGGTCCAGGGTCCACCTTTCTACCAACATATGATTGGCACCCTTTTTTTCCACCTAGTACAACGAGAAGGCCGTCGGCTAAAGCAAAGACATAAACTTGCTACCAATTCATCTTTTTCGACACAACACATTGTTCACTCAGTATCGCTCTAGACCAGAGTCAACCCTGCGTTGCGCAGTTCTCAACGGCCACGTTGCGCAGTTTCGCCCGATTAGACACGTTCTCTCGCGCGAACATTCACACTCGCATGCTCGAGCCGTCTGTGTCTCCGCCCATACAGCGTGCGTTGAGGATCTCTCAACGTGCCGTTGCGAACTGCGCAACGCAGGGTTGACTCTGCTCTAGACGCTCCACGCGCATCTTGCTCGGAAAATCATTATAATGAATGAACCAACTCCAATGGTGAGCAAGAGGAAACCAATGTATGGGTTTTCAGAACATGGCCCTGAGAAGCTTGCAAAAATATGGCCACTGCGTGCTCACTTCAGCTAACGTGGACTGAAGCTGTGGAGATGAACATGCTTGAGGTATCCTAATGCACGCATGCGAGGGAGGAAATCTGAAGCCCCGCATATGGTCAACGGTACGAAATGAGCTTTTGCAACAGTTACCAAAGAACAGAAGTGCAGTGTAATGATCGACACTCGACGCGATGGACAGTTTTTCTTTGCAAACAAAAAAATTAATTCGTGTCCTTCTCCTGTATCAGAGCAGTCCATCTGAATATCTGGCTAGCCACAGAAACGAGCTGAGCCTCTCGTGGTCGAGTCATGGGTTGGCTAGTGTGTGCGTTTCTCTTGATAGAAAAGCCATCCCGAATACAATGTAACAGCGATGTGCGACAATTTCGAAGGCGTGCCATCACCCGCCTTGTGGGGCAATCTTTGCTCAGACCCTAACAGGTTCTCATAAAAAGTAAGGCGCTGAAATAATTTCTGGAAAAGTCAAAGTGTCAGCCACAGAAATAAGCGTGCCAGTGAGCTAGCCAGCTAGCGAGCTTTCCGAATCTGCCGACTTGGCGTGCTACGGTATAAGCCAAGTTTCGGGCCTCGACCCCCAATTTTTTTCCAGAGATTTTCCATGGCATCGTGTAAAAAGTTACCCAGGAATTATACTACAACGGACATGCTAATGTGTGTCCTGACGAGAAATCATAGGTTACGTCCGCTTATAATACACAGCGCTCACAGCGTCAAGAGGAAAAGGCAATGGGATATCCCACATACGAGGTGAATGGCGGAAACAGAAAACGACTGAGGATAAACGATAACAGTCTTGAAACATGTTATAGACAGTTTACAGTCGATATCCGAAAGTTGGGGTAGGTGTGGCACCGGAACGTGCACTTGATAGAAGTTGCGTGGATAAGCTGTTGCCAGCATGCTTTGCTGATATCCAGCGATGTATGTTGGAAGCAGCTTATCCACATAGCTTCTATCAAGTGCACGTCACTTCCGGTGACACACCTACCCCAACTATCGGATATCGAGTATATAGTGCCTTTGTGTGAACGGTGAGGCAGCCATGTATGACGTGTGGAAAGACTGACATCGCCTGTGTAGCAGTAAGTAATAAGAACAAACAGAGGCCAAGAAAGCGAATTAGAAAGCAAACGCCACTTGTTTTGTAAAAGCTCCGGGTTAGCGATAACCCTGAATCGTTATTCAAGGAAAAGGCCTCACATGATCTGGCTTTCCCCCGAGGTGGCATCTGAAATTCAGTGATGTTAATGCACGTGTCCTCCATCCATAACTTTGCTGCTTTCTCGAAGGCAGTTTTGGTTTTCTCGTCTGCAAGTGCAAAACTTATTTTTCTGTCTCACACGTACTTGAAGGAGTGTTACAAACTAATTGAATGAGTAAGAGAATCTATGACTACTAACGTAAATCATTGGCGAGTATGAAAGTGATTCCGCTTGTCCATTTTCTTGCAGGCCAAGTTCCGTTAACGTTGAAGGCTTGCCTTCTTGCGCGTGTTTCTTCCAGAGCAATTTGTTCTTTCTGTTCCCTAAATAAAAAACACATGTAGTTGCTTCAAGATTTCAAAAAAAGGGCAAGCTGACTTTGTTAAGAGAATATCTCCTTCGAACAGGGTTTCTGCAACTCCACTTTTTATATTGACTTCTTCGATCGAGTCTTCCACTTCTACTCCTTCAGAAACTTCTCTTTTGAACAACTAAACCAACTGTTAGTTAATGTATTAATCGTACGCTCAAGGTACGCTATCGGTAAACATAACATTGTTAATGTAACTTGGTATAAAACAAGTAGTACTAACTCGAAAGTGGACCTAACGATGAAAATGGAGCTTACTGGAAATAAGGATAGCGGTGACCAGTGAAGTAAGGATGAAGAAGAAACCATGAAACAGCCCGGAACCCGAGAAATGGAACCCCTCCCTTGCCGGATGATTTTCGCAGTGATGGACTATCACTGTGCCTTCTTGAATGCTAATGCTCTCTGCTCTGTGCCTTCCGAGCAGGGTAAACCGTCCTTTGAGCAAAGTCCAACGGGGTCGTATTTGGCCGACGGGAGATGAGGCGTCGTATTCGCAAAGGTCATCGCTCAATGCGCAGATGAGAGACATAACTTTCAAGGGCTCTTCCAACTATTAACCACTAACGAGTGCATGGCGCACCTCAATGCAGAAGAGTCTACTGCGGAAGTGTCCATATTTGACTACTTGACTTCAACTGTTCACGCCCACAAATATGGTCTCCAATATTTTCAAACTGGACCTAAGTTAGTAGCAAAGTGACCACTAGGGTAGATTGACTACTAAGAGCTTACAAGAAAACTTCGGAAAAAATATTCAACTGTCTACAACTTCCTGAAAAGGTTTCAGCATCCATCATGAAGCACAAAGCTTGTGCGATGTCATGTTATCATAACTCCTCGTCATATCGAGTAAAACTGAGTTTGAAGAGAAGAAGCTGCAACTGCTCGATTGTTGAAAACTCGTGTTTTCAGAAGAGCTACTCCGAAAACCCTTGAAAAAAATGTCCAAGAGGGTCGATTTTCTCGAACGAGTCATTTTGGGAACGAAATGAAGTATTCATTAGAAAGCACTAACCTTCTAGTTCCTTCCAGGGGACAAGAATTGCAAAAAGTTAATCTGAAGAAAGTTATGACAGTTTGAAGCCAAAAAACCAGCGCTCCGCCAAAAATCGGTCCGCGATTTCCCAAAACGGTCCAACGGGGCGATTTTTTGACTCCATCAATTTTGGAAAGAGTTCAGGTATTCGTTAGAAAGCTTAACCTTCTAGTTTATCCCAGGGGACAAGAATTGCAAAAGGTTCATTCTGAAGAAAGTTATAGTCATTGAAAGCCAAAAAACCTGGTTCTGAAAAAATTGTCCAACGGGGCGATTTTTTGAAGAAAAGAGACTTTGCAAAAGTTGAGTACTTTTTAGAAAGGAAACAATCTGGATGTTCAAAATTTTCTTACCACTTCTCACATTTCCTTATTTGAAGAAAATTCCAACCTTTCAAAGGAAGAAGTGCGCATTTCTGTGAATTCCGGTTTCTCTACCCCATAACTAACATAGTTTTGAAGAAACTGCAAAAAAGTGGTTGTTTTCTGAAACTAGCAGTCTCGTAGATTACAAATCTACTTTGCGTTTTGAAAAATATTGACGTTGAACAGAATTACACTCATTTGAAAATTAGTAGTCCGCCTCGGTCTATCCGCGCTGGGTCGAGGAAGATTGTGCGCGCCAATGCGAACGCAACGCTCCCGTGCTCAATTCGGTTCCCCGGCGGGAAAGTTCTACTTATATCCAAGTTCTGTTTTAGGGTGTTTTGCGTCTAATCCTTATATCGCGATTCTCGAGTAGGAGACACGTTTATATATCCGTATACACACATAGACACAAAGACACAAACAAATGGTGTTGGGTGGGGGGTCGTATCGAGGCTCTA